CATCACGAGAAAAGCAGAGTCAAGCGGGTTGACTTGTAATCTTCGAAACATATAGCTAATCTCAGTATTTTAATACTGTTTACTGACGATTTCTTTGTCTCCATTAAACGTCGCTAATTTGATCTTATAGTTATTGATGAAAAACTCTTGATTTCATGGGTAAATTTAGAAATGCCGCATCGCTGATATAGCATTAATCATAAGCACGAATTCATATTCTATATCTACTAGCAATAGTAGTGGGGAGGCAAAACCTGGGAACTAGATTCTATATCTGACCGTCCATGAAGTGCCAAACAGTAGATTTGATGGTAGATCGAAGAGACGTTTCTCTGTGATGGGTGTGTAACTAAATGTTTTCAATGATGTGTGAGTGCTAACTGCGTCAATCTGTAGATAGTAGCTAGGTGACCTGAAAAGCGCGTGTTGAAAACTTCACCGTTGTGACATAACACAGAATGCCATAAGTTGGGGTCCGTAACAGGTGAACAAAGCAATCTGGAGAGTCTGACACTGGGTGGAGTTGAATTATATTGAATAATAGTTTGGATGTTGCAGTTATATGTATAGTAGTAGCGAGTGAAGGAAGAAGAAACTGATGATCTGTCATCTGGAAGACAGATACTGTCAGTGCCTTTGTGCTTAGGGGAAGGTCAAAAACTAACTTAAATATGTTTATTTGCCTCAAAAAGTTTACTACTGTCCACAAAAAGACGAATTGATGTTCTTGTATGCAAACACTGGTAGATTATAACGAGATTTTGTTTGCGAGAAAATCTGATTTAAATAGTTTTTTCGAAAACAAAGAAATATTAACCCCAACAACTGTTTTTATGCATTAGAGTTAGAGCTTAAGAATAAGTCTAAAACAGTTTCCCAGACCTCAAATTAGTCACGAAAAATTGAAACAGGCGTTGCGTTTTGCTTTTTTGAAATTTTTCAATAATTACCCCAATTCAGTGGATGACATGACACCAAAATCAAATGACTCTGAAGTTCGACGCTTTTTCCGAATTTTAAGTACCGTCTGATTTCTGGATGACGAAAGTTGGTAGGCGTTAATATCTAACATCTGTTTTTTTATACTCCAACTACCACGAAGGGCTAATGCCTAAACACCCATGGGGTACCGAGGGGCTATAGGGGGGTACAGTGGAAAGGGGGAACGCCACACGGACTCTGGCGAGGGACCACGTGTGCATGCTACATGCACACATTCTGGCTCCGCCTATGAGATCCGCCGGATGGTTCCTCCGCGTTCGACAGTCAGAGACCGTCTACCACCTACGGACAATCACAACATCCATATTCACGAGAAAAGTTTCTCCTGGGACGGGATTCGAACCCGCACAGCGCACGGCGACTGATCAGGAGACCGGAGAGTCTACTACTGCGGTCACCGCTGCCTAAATGTCTAGTCTCTCTAGTCTAGTGCTTTGAAATTTTATTGATGCTTGGGCTCATTACACACTAAACCATCTTGAGAAAAAATGGTCGTATAATATCACAGCTGGTTAGAAGTTAAAACACATAAACATCTAACACTCAGTGTAAAAGTAGATACCGCACAATATGCACTGCTTGTCTGGCTGTTAAAAGCAGAATGATTTCTATCTCAGACAAAAAGCAAATGAGAAGTTCATATAAAAAAATTCACACAACAAAACACTCTGGTTGAAATGATATAAACAATAACTATAAATCAGCCTTGTTGACTATATTTATTTTTTTCCCTATCTGCATGAGGTAGCAATCATTCTGCTTTTAGCAATCATACAGGCAGAGTATATTGTGTGGTATGTTCTTTCACAGTAAGCGCCTTAAATGTGTATGTATGAAGATGGTTTAGGGCCGTATCATCAGTAGTACCTACAATAATCGTAGTATGCCTTCATGGCCTCCTTGATTTTCACAAAGGGATATTTGTAACATAACCTCAAAGTAGAGCGCTGACACGGACCAGTAGAAATCTGGCGTTGCCTTTCTGAAGGACAGAAAAGACTATGAAAATCAAGGAGTAAACTCGACCTACATTTGTAGATACTATTAACGATTCGACGATAAACCATCATCAGAAGAATGATCGTACAACACCACAGTTTGCTAAAAGCTTAAACACATAAACATCTACGACACTTACTGTGAAAGGACAGTGTGTAACAAACCTAAACGTTAAGAATTTAAGTAAACCTTCATTCATAACCAATTATCGGAAGCACCATAAAAAAGAAGAAATTTATATAGGAACGGTCATCAACCAGATATTTTCTATTACTCTTCTGGGATCAAATGGCACCGCTATCTCCATTTGTTTGAAAAATGGACTTGGAAGTCTTTGAAACTACGAGACTCCTATGTGGGTTTACTTAACCATCATCGAGTCGTGTTCACTGAAGGATCATTCTATTTTAATTCCTTTCTTTCATCTGGACACACTGTATGTTGCGCCTAAGAACCCGGTGAGTTGCAGTTGCATTTGGCATAAGCGAATCGATAACATAACACGGTGTCTGGGAATGCCGGAATGACTCGGGATTCTGTTGTGTGAGTTCGAGCGGCAGCGTCGGCACGGTCTGTTTTTTCCCAGAAGCAAAGGGGTGAAGAAAGGGGGAAGGGAAGGAGCAAACCAAGGGGAATGCGTTCGTCGCGTTATTAATTATGTCCAGTGAGTGGCTGATTCGTGATCGGCATATTTTCGTCTCGGGTATTATTTGTCCGGCACTGCCACTGCTCCGACTGGATATTACATACCTACATGGTGCAGTCGTTTTAGTGACTCAGATCATCTTTCAAATATCCGTATTCGTGATAAAGTCAATTCGTTTCCTGGAAGAGGTAACTTATCAATTCTTGGCTTGAGGATTTACACCATCAAGTAGACCATGTCTGATTTCTGTATAATATCTGCACAGAACCTTTGAAGCCCCAATTTGCTCTACCTTTAAAATTATATGTATTAAGTTCATTTTTTACAGAGAGGAGGTCGTTGATAAATAGAAACACCCGATCTCCGGGGAAAATCCGCTCAATATTGTGTGATGAAGAGGAATAACTGTCTATGACCATGGGCATCTTGCAGCTAAACATGAAGTTAGCCATCCGTCTGCAAAGCTTCTCTGGGTGACCATAGGATGGAAGCTTGTATAAGAGTGCAGCTGATCAAATGTTTTCGTGATGTCGAGAGCTCGACATGAGTCTCACCTCATGACTGGATCAGTTTACTCCATAGTTGTGTGAGGTTCCTCATTAATCGCTGGTTTTGGAAACCATACTGTCTGACGCTTATCGAGGCGTGATGCCCAAGATACTCTAGAAGCGCTCCATTTATGTACTTTTCCATCACGTTGCTGATAAAAGAAAGCAAAGCTATGGGTCTGTCGGACTTGAACCTCGTTTTTCGGACAGGCTGGACATGGACATATTGCCGATGCTCCGGGAAAGTACCCGATTCGTGAGAAATCTGGAAGCGATGCGAAAGCACCGAAGCAAGCTCCGCTGCACATTTCTTCAACACAATAGCAGGAATGAGAACTTGTTGATAGCAAGCGACAGAAGTGCCCTGCAATAGCTGGAGATGCCTTTTTAGCTTCTCCTATTCAAATTCTCGCAGTGCAACCTTGATTGCGTTTATTCCATGTTATGTGCGACTTTATTTACCGTCTCTAGATTAATGGCGTAAAACCTACTTCATAATCCTACAAGAGTCCAAATCGACAAAGGGTTGAAGCGAACCCATAATTTCATGCCAGATTATCTTTAAGAGCTCTGGGAGCGTTAATATTTTTATAACGATTTCACACAATATTTTTTGTATTCCAAGTACTCCATTGTGTTCCCTAAGCTGCAGTGACTGCAGCATTACTCATGTTGGGCTCTCGAATTTCGATTCGCGGTAACGTTTAGTGAGTATGCCAAAAGTCTGCTGTCTAGATTCTCGTGAAAAATGGTCATGTAATTAGTTTAACGTGTTTATGATACCAGTAATACCATCACAAATAACTGAATATTACTGTTTTGGGAAATCATCTTAACGATGCTAAATATTTTGAAATATTGAGAGTGCGCAGCTGTACGCAGTGTTACAGCGGTTATCATTTTTTAACCTTGAGGTGAACTTCAAGGTCAACTTCCTGGTCTTAGTCAACGACAAGATCTATTGCCTCTTTCTGAATTGTGTAGAGGTTTCACGATCATCATTTGAGGTACCAAATGTTGTTGGGCTAATAGGCCGTTGTGCTCTAGCTTAGACGCTTGAGAAGCTCTGCATTCCTGATTCTGGAGATACCAGGCGCTCATGCTGGCGAAGTAGAAGACAGCGGCCTAGTAAACCAAAAATGTTTGGTGCTTTAATATGTGGTTTCATCACATCAGTACGAGTAGCCTGAACTCGAAACTACGGTTCAGATCAAGACCAGTAACGATGGCGATGTTAAGATTAACTCGATCGTCCTTTGTCATTAGCTAACGCTTACATAATTCATCACCTGAAGCCTGAAGGCCCACAGCTCCTTTTGCCGACTTCTCTCCACGCTTTTCTGTTTCAGTCTGTTTCCCCATTCTGATACTTCCGTTCTTCGTACAACCTCTGTGACACTTTCCAACTATTTCGTCTTCGCTCTCTTTGATTTCGTCTTCTTTTCCTTCTACTACCCTCCCCCTCAAAGCATCACTTTTCTCTATAAGCGTGTCCTAACCAGCATTCTCTTCGAGCAAGGTTTTTTGTACGATGCTGGGTTAGTTGTACATATCTCAATCACTGTTTGGGTAGCTCGTCTCCTCCATGTACAAGGAATGTCTTTTAAGTTTTGCATATAGAAACATAGTAAGCCGCGCGGATCGAACGTCAGTACTGAATCTTAACCTCGCTCTTTAGTAAAGTTAAATTCAAAGTTTCACAACAATACGTGCAGTGTTCTCACTTCAGTAAATTTTTAAGTATCACCAAGTCATTAGAAAATGGAACTCAACCGAGAACATTTTTGTGCCATAATTTATTTCAGAGACAATTATCGCAACAAGAATGCCTTGCTGAGGTACTGTCTGATTTGGGCAAGGAAGCGTCACATCAGTCGGCAATTTCCCATTGGTATGGAGAATTCAAGCGTGGACGGGTGAGTCTTAGCGACGATTCCAGGGTGGGTGCACCAAAAACGGCAGTCACCCAGGAAAACGTCGATGCTGTGCGCAAACTCATCAATGAAGATAGACATGTGACATATCGCGAGATTGAGGCGTCGTTGAAGATCTCAAAGACTTCAATTCAGAAAATCTTACATGAAGAATTATGAGTAAGAAAATTAGTTTCTCGTTGGACACACCACCTGTTGACTGAAGAGCAGAAAGCAGCCAGGGTTAATTGGTGTCAAAAAACGCTTGACCGTTTCAATTCCGGAAATTAAAAAAATGTGTATAGCATTTTTAGTGGTGATGAATCTTGGATTTACTGTTATGAACCAGAAAATAAACGACAGTCGGCTGTTTGGGGTGTTCCAAGGTGAAGAAAAGCCAACAAAGGTCATCCGTTCTCGAAGTGTTTCGAAAAAGATGGTCGCGACATTTGTGTCGAAAGCGGGTCATATTGCAACAATTCCTCTCAATGAACAAAGAACTGTCACTGCGGATTGGTATACCACCATTTGTTTGCCAAAAGTCATCAGCGAGCTTCGAAAAATCAACCCCGAAAGAAGAATCATCCTCCACCAAGACAATGCAAGCTCGCACGCAGCCCAAGAAACAAGGCAGTATTTAACGGAAGAAAATGTGGAATTATTGGACCATCCTCCATATAGTCCCGATATAAGTCCTAACGATTTCTTTACTTTCCCGAAAATTAAAAACAGACTGCGTGGTCAAAGGTTCCAGTCACCAGAAGAAGCAGTTGACGCATTCAAAAATGCCGTTTTGGATTTGCCAGCAAAAGAGTGGAATAAGTGCTTCGAAAATTGGTTCGAGCGCATGTAGACGTGTATTAATCTTGGTGGAGAATACCTCGCAAAACAATAAAATCATTTAAAACTACCTACCGTGTTGATATTTATTTCCATATGCAAAACTTAAAAGACATCCCTCGTACCATCTCCATGTTTTTACATCCCCATATACTGCACATAACATTTTCATTTTCAAGCATTCTAATGTTTTTCCTGGTTTAATACTCAATCTTCACTGCCATACAATGTATTGATGGTTAGATGACCGATTCATACAGATAAATAAAACATTAAAGCTCGTGAGCTGCTCACACATACCCACTGAGCCGAAGCATCTAATCTGCAGAGTAAAAATCCAGATCGTGAGCGGTAAATATATGTAGCACACATCGGGTTTCAATTTAAAACTCCCCAGATATCTATCCGTCTATCCGTCAGGCTGTTAGTCGATAATTAGCTCGTATTTAGAAATTCTAGGGCGGCCATGAAGCGGCTCGACGGCGGCGGCTTATGCCAGCAGTGCCGCCCTCCAGGTTGATTGATTTCCGTGCTGGGGCATAGCCACCTTTGACCCACAGGCGGTACGGTTGAGACTAATGCTCACCTGGAGATGGTTTAGGGTGAAACAAATAAAGCGTACATATGTGACGGACTCAATTACGTTTAGTTTCAAAAAATTTATAGAGTGCTTGTTGGATGCCGCGAGGTTTTTACTCAGAAAATCTCATAACAAGATTAAAGCGTGATTGCAGATTACAGACTTACAAAAGAAAAGGAGTTGGCTTGCTAGCCTTAAAACGTTACTGCTACCCAAATGGATCTATTGTGACCCCCGCATACACTTTCTAAAGCGTTGTATCCAGTCTTTTTCCTTTAATCAGAATCCATAGCCTTAACGCAGGGCCTTGTATGTGGCCTTCCGCTATTGCATTTGAGATTCCTACTATCTGAAACCGCCGCTTTGCCACGCCTTTGCTGTAACACAAAAGATTCACTGGAGTTTCATCATGCTTTCTGCAAAAACGGCATGTGGCTTCTTCTGCCAGACCCGAGAACCTCATATGTTGGTTTAAACGAACGTGTCTTGACAGGAAACCCACTATGGCCCTTATGCGGATCTTCGTGCTTTGATGAACTCTTTTGCCTGCCTTAATTGGCTGCTCCATCATTATAGGGATTTTTCTTGGTCCATTTCTTCATGGGCTAATGCTCTGGACGAATAAGGCGATTGAGTGGCCGCACCCTGTCGGGCTAGCTCATTCGTCTCTTCATTTCCTCTGTGTCCTTGTACCCAGAGCAACATTACCTTGTTTCGGTTGTTCAGCTCTTTGAGAGTGTTCAAGCAATCCTCTACTAGTTTAGACGAAGTTTGCCATGAACTCAGTGCCTTTATGGCTACCTGGGCTGACTGAGCAGATGACAATCAACTGATTTGCAGACTCACTCCTTGCTAGCCCTTTCGCGCAGTCATGTGTGGCCGTTACTTTAGCCTGGAATATTGTTGCTATTAACTAGACTTACAGCGACCTCAGTGTTTGGCCTTGTCCCATAAATCCCGGCTCCGGTTCCTAGATAGGTTCAATTCAATTCAATAGGCTTTATTCAGAAAAAAAAGGTTAATATAAAAACAAAATGAATGAATAAAGCATGAGCCGATAAGCGTAAAATAACACTTGTTTCGGCATAAAAAGAAACCGTATATCTATACGTATATATCTATACTAAAAACACATTGTAATCTCACATACATATATAGTATATCGTAAGATAAAATGGTATTAACATAAGAATGATTAAAACGCTGTAACACAATACCGCACAAATAATACTAACAAAAGGAACCTATCACACAGACATAACAAATATACAGGTAGTTGACGAATAGTAAGCAGATGACATATCGTTTTATAAATCTACGTAACCTGATCAATACAGATTCATAATTACACTACAATACATCACTAATGTAGTAAATTCTCTATTGATCATCGTGGTTGGTTCAAATGAATTGCTTTCTTGAATGGCGCCAAGTTGTTGATGCGTTGCGGATGTGGTGGAAGACTGTTGTACAGTTTAGGAGCAATATGAGTATATGAACGCTGTCCTACACAGCTTTGGAAAAATGGTACGACATGATGGTGTTTTTGCCGTGTTGAGTATGGGTATATTGGAAGCGTACAGACCTGTTTATTACAGTGATATTTAGGGGCAATTTTAAAACAGAATGTCTGTCGAATATCTAGGTTGTTAGTTTCACTGTATAAACGATCAGATGGAAATCTTGGTTCTCTGTAATATGTTAGTTTTACTGCCAATTTCACCAACAACAGTCCGTTATTCTCCACCTATAGGGTAACAGACCGTTAAATACAGCGAATGAGCTTCAAGTTCCAATCAACAAATTTTAGCAACCAATAGCTATGCAATGTTGAAAACAAAATATTGTCAAAGTATGAGATGGCATCTTGTCATTGAAACATCACCAGCTTATTGAATATTAAGAAATTACATATAATTCAGTCAAAATTTAGACAAATGTTTGATTTTTGAATAAAATTCATGTTTTAATTACGATTGTTGATTTTTTATTCATGATAATATTAATTTCTTCAATTGATATGCGATTTTACTGATTCAAGATCATCTACTGGGTGTTATTTCCTATAAACCTGTTGCAGATAGCCATTAAGCACCTACTTGATGACTGGCTCTACCAAAAAGTTCATATATATTGCTCGTTTCCAAACATTCATTCATTTACTTGCCGTTCATCAGAACCATTATGGCACCTTAGATTGATATTCTCACAAAACCATTCTGGTTTTTTAATATCCATACATCCATAAATTGAATATTTTTCGTTGTTCAGGAACTTAACAAACAAACACACTATATTCACAGCGATTAAGAAATACCCAAATATATGCCTCAAAGCTACAAGCAAACCTAAAACCTGCAAAAAAACTACCAATTTGCCACATTTTTCTTTTTTCACGAGTACACATTCTAGTTTATATCTATATTAGAAGTTATTTGAATACAGCTGATTATTGCATTTCAAGACTCATCGAGTGACACATGTGTGGGATCTGTCAACCCTTGGTCCCAGTCACAAAACATATACCCTGAAGATGATTTAATTCCGTGCTATCCAATGACAACACGGTGACTTGTGTGGTTGACAGCGGTCATTTTGTGAGGGTGCGACATGGTTGCCAGATTGTGCATTAATATCCCGTTTCACCCCTTGGTCCCAGTGGAATAAGCTCCGCCAACTGTTGAAATATACTCTACTATGCTTTATAAGAGTATTCTTGGAATTTTTCCCAAAATCGTTGCGCAACACTTGCAATGCAAATGAAAATTTAAAACTATTTCCATGACGCCGCAAAATAGCTACGTCGGTACCTCGGGTTATACATCATGACAGTAAGGATGTTCCATAGGGTCCTATATTTAGAAGTATCAATACATTTCACGAGTATCGACATCTTTCGATACGGACTATGTCAGAAAAAGTGACTGCCATTTGGTTGCGACATTACCCTGCCAAATCAGACATATCTTTCATCATTTTCAAAGAAATTGTACAAAATCTTCAAATTTGTGAAGCTAAAGAGTTTCACTTCATGCGCTGTTACTAGACATGCCCAAATCATCAGTTGCTGCCGTGATATTCATCCCGATCACTGCATCCCCACGGCTAGACGACCTGTATGTTAAATTTGTATTGATAGGGCAGCGGGTTATGCTATAAATCATATGTCGCAGTTTTTGTGCACTGATTGCAACGGTTAGATGATACCAAAAATATTTTCATAAATAGGAGAGCCAACCTAAAACCTGCAGAAAAACTAGAAATTTGCAATATTTTTCTTATTTCACTGAGTAGATATTCTGGGTTATATTTATATTAGACGTTATTTGAATACAGCGAATTATAGCATTTCAAGGAGTGACACATGTGTGGGCTCTGTCAACTCTTGGTACCAGTCACAAAACATACTCTGAAGCTTTAATTCCATGCTATTCGATCACAACACGGTGACTTGTGTGGTTGTCAGCAGCCATTTTGTTAGGGTGCGACAGGGTTGCCAGATTGTGCACTAATATCCCGTGTCACCCTCCTGGTCCCAGTGGAGGAAGTTCCGCCAACTGTTGAAATATACTCTACTATGCTTTATAAGACTATTCGTGACATTTTTCCCAAAGTCATTGCACAACACTTGAAAAAATGCAAATGAAAATTTAAAATTATTTCCATGACGCCCCAAAATAGCTCCGTCGGTACCTTGGGTTATACATCTTGACAGTAGGGATGTTCGATACGATACTATATTTAGAAGTATCAATACATTCCACGAACATCGTCATCATTCGATTCGGACTGTGTCAGAAAGAGTAACTGCCATTTGGCTGCGACATTACCCTGCCAAATCAGACATACCTTTCATCATTTCCAAAGAAATTGTACAAAATCTTCACTTCATACGTTGGCACCAGACATACCCAAATCATCAATTGCTGCCGTGATATTCATCCCGACCACTGCATCCCCACGGCTAGGCGACATGTATGTTAAATTTGTATTGATAGGGCAGCGGGTTATGCTATAAATCATATGTCACAGTGTTTGTGCACTGATTGCAACGGTTAGATGATACCAAAAATATTTTCATAAATAGGAGATCTTTTCCATTCCGGATCGAACATCCTACCAAAGATGCTTATAATCATGATACCTAATAGTAAATTTTCACGAAAAAAAAAATGCAATACCAGCAAATGTAAAAGATTCATTTCGCACCCTCCACCACGGGACGAGATCGTCGTTAGACTTGGCAACCCTCGAGTGACAGATATAGTAGATATCCCCGCCAGTCAACGACCGCCAGTCAAAAACACAAACAATAAACATTACTAGTTTCGATGATTTAATTTGATTGACTTAAAGGACATTATTTGTGAAACATTTTTCATAATTTTTTGTGTATGTCCATAGTAATTGTATTATGCGTCAGGGAGATGTAGGGATTGACACGTCTTACAGATATTATGTGTGTTTTAGGATGGAGAGGACATAATGTTTTTATCGCTTTGAAGAAAGTCATTAACCCATAAATTAATAAATGATTACTACTATGACGTAAAGGAAGATGAGGAATTGGATGGAATGTATTTTATATTCTATTTTCTTGCAAAATACAGACAAATCCACACTATTCAACAGGTATGTAATGATAACTTTCAGTATATTGAAGTTGGTAAATTCGAGAGTGCCATGCATTAACAAACGTCCAAATCTGCTACCAAATTTAACAGCTAGAAGATCGACCTATTATTTTCCGCATTCCCATTCGCTGATGGGGATAACGAATTGTTAAATGTAAACCTATAACATATATCAAAATACATGAAAGTTGTCCTGTTCTTTTTGTACAAAAGCATCATGTTGGAATCAAAAAGTGGTCTTGTTTATAATACAGTCGAATTTTCACGATTTTATTCAATATTTCAATAGAAATCACTAATATTTAGCTTCTGTCAAATTGCGTTTCGTTAAGGTATTTTCCCATTGGTCCATAATATTAATGTTGGTGAAAGCGGACCTAAATATTCTTTTTTGAAGTATTTCAACAGGGATATAAGTCTTCGAAGCTCCTCCCCATGCTACTATGCCGTACCTTATGTGACTTTCCACTAAAGCGAGATATAATGGTTCCATTTGGTAGGTTGTCTATATTTTTTTACAGATGAAGTTTGTATGTTTATCCCACCTCAGATCTATAATCACGTCAAGGTATTTAGCACTTTTTTCTGACTTCATTGAATGTTCTTTCCCATTTATACTGACACTTATATCACTAAAGGATGGCTTCCTAGATTTATTGCATGTAAGGGGGATAGAACATGTTTTTTCCCAGTTTACTGTTAATAACATGTGCTGGAGCCAATTCATTATATTTGGTAGGTCAATCTCTACGGTGGATTCGATATTTTGCCAAGTGTCTGCTTTGTAAAATATAGCGGTGTCATCTGCAAATCCAAAGATGTCTTCACTACATTGGATCGAAAACATCTCATTGATGTAAATATTAAATCGTGTAGGCCCTAGAACGGTGATAACTAAATGGTGATAGAGCTGACACCAAGATGCGCGTACTTGTCATCTTATCAGTATCGTATCCGGTAGAACTAATAATGATAGTAATAATAATTCTGCTGCATTGTATCACCACCTTCAATAATTATGGTGGCCGATGTTCTGTCAAGTTTGATTCCACATACCTTTGTTCTTTTTATAACGCAATAATCTATGCTTTAAATTTGAGTATGTTAATTCTTTTAAGTCTTAGCATTTTGGTTGTCAGTCTTGTACCTATAATGTTTATTTCTGATGTATTATGCAGGGTCCTATACTACTACTATTCTGAGGAGCCTTTCTTTACTTATCTATCATATACCAACTGTTATGTTCAGATAAATATATGATCTTTGAAAGGGACAGTTATTTTACGTGCAATAGTAGCGTTTTTTACATTTTTATTGTCATCCACCAACGACTTCACCATCTTCTTCTTCTAACCAATGTAACCAAAGTACTGAGTACGATTTTTCTTCTCCTATTAAGGATACATGCTCCAATTTTTACTTCCTACGCCACTGATCGAGGAACCATTGTAACTGCGAAAAAATCCGAAAATGAGATATTGTCTTATTTGGATGTTATATGACATGTACGTCACGAAAAACTGTCACTCATTTCCATCGGTCTGTCGGTCTGTCTGACCCGTCTATAACTTGAGGGGGGGGTCCTGATCATTTCCAGGAAATTTTATTGTAGGGGTTGAAATTTGGGGTGGGGGTTGTAGAGGATGGGGCAAGATATATGGAAATTTTTTGATTTCATACTTAAAATGATAGAGAAATGTTTTCGACTCGCGTACTGCTGCTATCTATGCTCACCGCCCAGTGAACCGGTCCGGCTGACTAGTCTATCCATACTCCAGCCTAAAAAACATATACCTGGACCGTGCACGAAATGAAGGGTAAGTTGCTGCAGCGCAGGGAAGGGACAACGTTGCCAGATGGACATTAGCCACCGGTAGGGCAGGTAAAGAATATCTATGTATCAATTATATGAGCCTGTTTGACTGACTTAATCCATTTAGCCTTTCTGATGTAAAGGTTCGTAACTTTTTGAGAAGTGAAGAGTCAACCTACCTGACACCCATTTTTAGTTTACGATGAGAACATTCTCACTTAACGCAATTTTGTAAGCCAGTCAATTAGCAAAGTTTAATTAGTTCGGCATTTTATATGGCATGCAGCCATTCGGAAGCTTTCCCATTTTATGCGTTGTAAAAGTGTTGGAAAAATGGTTTTAACGGAAATGAATGACCGATGGATTGCATCGCCTAGCCCTAAGTAATATTTCTAACAGCCAATCACGTTAATGTTGAAAATATGTAACTGCTGGGGACAGTCCATTAAATTTATCGATTATAGGGCAACACTTGATAATCTACTTATTGGTTATTCGTGTATTTTGTCCTTAAGGGAGCGTTGCACACCTAACTTTATGAAAGATGTTCATCATACCCTCAATGTTGGTCTAGCATAGGTACTTGGAAATAACTCGTGCTCAATAAAGTGATAGCTTTAGTATTCGTGAAGATAGCATAAATTCCTATTCGTAATATAGGAAGGTGCACTGTTATTTACGGAAGAAATTTTTGAAAAAGTATGAATAAAGGATTACGTATCCATTTTACTTATCAACGATTTAGATCAACCCTCGTTTCAACCATCATTGGGATTTGTTATGCGCTTTTAGGTTGATATAAGAAACAATGTCTTTTGAATTTTTTAAATTGGAATGACGCGACTTAGCGGCCATCTTAGGAAGCTGAAAATAGTCACCAGCAATATTTTTTACCACACTTAATAAAAATGTATCCTTTATTATTGGCCCATCTGGTACACACGAGAGCCCTGCCTGTATTCTCGAAAGTTTTGGCTTCACCTTCATTCTACAAGTTTAACCTGCTACCGCAAGTATTCGTTATATAAGCGTTGCCTCCAAATCTTCTAACACTGTCAACAGTGGTTCGCTATGCTTTACACCGTGTCGCCCAATGAATTCGAATAGGTTAGGAATAATTTACGTAGTCTTAGCACGATATGATCAAGTGTAGTTTATGCGAATCAATAATAAAAAGGAGTAGTTTTGTGCAGAAGGTGTATTTATGAAAACTTTTCAAATAAATTTGTAATGGTGCGAGCATTTGCAATAAACGAAAAATATTTACTTTTGTATTCCACGTTGGTACAATATCATTAATCATAAAATTACAATGTAAATAGAACTAAAAGCACCCACAAGAACAATCACAAGAAATTTTGTCTCGGAAAAATGAGAGTAAATCACTAGCGAAGTCACAACCAACACTTCAGACAACGACTTCTCAACTAGAATGCTTCTATATACAGACGAGACTTTAATGTTTAATCGGTCCGTAGTTCCGATATTTCAAGTTAGTTATAAAAATTGTGGGCAGCTGTGCGTTCATTACTAGGAAAATATGCCGCTCTCCAGAGAGTGATTCATGTTTATAACACAAACTTATATAGTTTTCAAATCTATTTTAGTATATTTTGAAATGTCCCTTCAAAAGAACTTTGATATAGTGTGCTATATATATATATATAGGGTTTGTACTGCTACTTATGGGGCTACAAGATATTTTGTACTGAAGAAGACAGAGCTTTGATAGCTTGTAAGTCACTTTTGGACAAACATGTTCCTTTTTATTATTAATTCACACGAACTACACTAGATCATATACGAATATTATAATTTTTACGATTGCAAGGAATATCTGCAGTATACGTGTCAACACCGACGGCTGGCAGGAGAGTTTCATAGCTGATTGTTATCTAATCTGTGGTCTTAGTGAAGACATTTGACTCATTTATCTACCAATGTCTACCAAAGTGCCAGCGTTATATCAACATGATAATAATACTTACTCGTGGAATCATCTACCTTCAATAGAGCTGTGGCAATCTTTGCAAATTATTCAAGAAGAAGCATGTCTTCAAATCGTCTCACATAATGATCTGCAAGCTCTCGCACTTTAAAAAAAATAATACTGAATATACGAATTTGATGACAGAACTGTAAAAAAATGACATGTCAAGTGCACTTTGATCCTCACTACAGACTACGAGAATAATGAGACAAAGAAATCATTGACTAGCTCCTTCTACCTAGTCTGAATTCGTTGATGTCGTAAGTGCAGCTACGTCTACATACTAGGCAATGCGATTAAGACTTCCAAAGGCAGCATGTCAAATATGAACGAGACGTATGTCAATCTCATGTCAAATATGAACGAGACGTATGTCAATCTCATGTTCTTCAGACATTTACTCTTTGAATTATTTATTATTGTCCAAGTGCAACAATCTAAGTGATAATTGCGAAGGTGTAGCGACATACGATCATGCGATAGTAACAAGAAGCTTTCAAACCGTCGTCGCTCCCGTTAAATTATAACTTGAAGCATACTATTTTATGTCCTTCGGGCTGCAACAAAGTTGATAAAAGTTTACGATCTCCACAACTATCACATACGGATGTATCTTAAGCTTCGCTCATATTAGAGCACATAACTTGAGCATAAAAAAGGTACTAGTGGATTTGTAGTCGTTATTTTTTCAAAGTTATTGAAATGACTGTAAAGCAAATTACCGTCTTAAAAGTTACCGTCTGCGTGTGGGGTAACGGAAGCATCCGCTGACGTTTTGAACATTTTTCCGATACAAAGGCCATGTAAGGAGTCAACAGACTTTCTCCTGGATCATCTGAAATTGTAATGGAAAAATGGTCCAATATAATTCTAAATCTGGATGAGCTATTGGAATAATGTTTCATTATCTTTACAGTTCTAACAAACAGTTGCTATTTACTTTCGTAGTGATCGACTCTTGCTACGATCGTTCCTTCGTTCCGTCTGCCGAAAATATGGCACACTTCGACTAGAGAAAACTTTTTATAAGCAAGTATTTCGTCAATATGTTTAAAATCGGGATATTCTTGAGCTATTTTTTTTTATTTCAATGATATTTTCCAATAACTGGTCTGCCGCAGGAGTTGAAGTTTAGTAACAGAAAAAAGTGTACTGACTGTTATTTTTTGGTGCGGTTGCAAATGTACACAGAAAAAGTGTTACACATACACATGTTTCAACAGCCTTGCTTAATCAGAATCGTTCCTAAATAGTTGTTAGATGTTTTCAAACACAACCGGAATGAAACAATTAATTTTTTAATTGGACGACCATTCATCGTAGGCATAGCGGTTTTCGCCATCATATTATGAAAAATTGCATCGGTACAGCAATCCTTGCTGTTATAGTACAATCCTTCTGGTCAAAGGATTACTTAAAATGAACACAGGAATTTAAGGCTCTGTTTTTGAATAGAGACGTTTGATAATTTCCAGGAACGTTTTTTGAATAATCATGCAACTAATATCTTAACTAGATATATGTTGTAGCAGACTGGGATATTTATCTCATAATCTAGTCTACAAAGTATTCTACCTCCGATACGCCAAAAGCAATGGAGGTAGTAACCACATATCATACTATTTTTGCTGTGCCAATATTTTTTAAACCTCAAATCTAGTGTGTTAGAGTGAACGCTTTTATGCTTCCAAGCACTTTGGTTTCTAATTTCTTAATGATTCCTTTAGCGTAGCTACGAAATTCATATTTTAAAGATGCCCCTCTGGTCCATCGCATTTTCTTTGGCTAACAGTCGGAACCATGAAAATTTAGTGAAGTAATTTACTAAGGTTTTGGCGTCCACAATGTTTATCAGAAAGGACTGCCGCGGCAGCTAAAACGTGCATAATGTTCCTCATTCAGCATTTCTGGTTATAGTCAATGCCTAGTGCATCGCATATCAACCTAAATTTTTATGCACGTGACAAGACAATTTGATGAGTTTCTTATACATTTGGGATTCACTGTGCTAGATATTCTGGAGTTTTTCAGCATCTGTTCTTGATTGAGCAACTTCATTAAAAAAAAGACTTAAACTGATAAAATCGCACACGGTCCTGACCATTTTCAGGAAGGGGGGCTAAAAGCTGGGTGTTGGAAGCTGTAAAAGGTAAACACCAATATTTTGGTGTTAGTTGATGAAGACCATGGATCAGTTGTATGCCTGTTCGACTAACTTGATTCTTCAATTTTTTCCTGCCCCTTAAACAGGCTAGGCAGTGTCTCACGTAATATTTTATGTACTGATGACAATGTGGCGTGAGAAATGCAGTCAATCTAACTGATGCCATTTTCTTCAAAATTTCTTATAACAGGTATCGGACAGATTATACGGCGAAATGCATTTTTAACGATTTTTTGTTGCATTAAATCACCCAGTTTCACAGGACTATAGGTGCAGTAATTGTTGCGGTTATTCAGAACCAAGGAACGCTGTGCTTTGGTAAACAACTGTACATGGTGCACTCCTGCGGTTAGCGTCTAATTCTTTCTACGAGCGACTTTGAAGTCCTTTTATTTTAAAGGTTGTGGTTAATTACAAAACAAATATATCCAGCGCGACAAAAGATTGCTACATTTTTATTCCGAGGCCGCGGTCTTGAACCACCTAGTCGTGAAGATTTTTCTGAATTACGTAATAAAAGCTGATTCGAGTAGGTTGACTTCCCGTTCTAAGATAAAGGGGCATGTAGATATATACAGTATGTTAAAACGAGCGCTACACAGTATGAGCTGCATAGGAAGGGAAAACTAGTTATCGGCATGGATATATCAGCATATCGGCAACATACACGCAAAAGTAAACCATACAGTTAATAAATGTCAAAATTAATGAATCGAGACAAAAACATATAAATACACATTCTCATTAATCGTATCATTGTAAGTTCTTTTCCTGTTATTTTTTGCATTACACTAACGAATTTCTTTAGTCTTCATGGGTAATTTTGCAGAAATTTTTTCTCGGGGTGTCATTTTTAGAAATGTTTACTACTTCCATACAACAGTGAATGCAATGCCTTTGAAATAAATCAAGTCAGATATGAAAATTTGAAAATCCCATTCCTTGGAACTGAAGTTGCTTGCGGTAGATAACAAGCCTAATAAACAAATCACAGCTATAAACCGGATTCTACCAGAAGGCTCTCCCACGTTTCAATTGCTAATTTTGAATTGAGAAAATGTTCTCCATAGTCTAGCAAAATGTTTAAGTGAACTTATAGGTGGATAAATTATTTGGTGGAAATGTGTGAAGAGGCTTACTGGATGAGAATATGGGCCTGAAAAAAGAATGTCCCGCTTTGATTCTTTGATTGCGAAAAATAGACTTAGGAACCATATTCAATTTTTTGTAGCTATTCTCAAAATCTTAGCTCTGAAGTAGCTGCAGAATAAATTTTAGTACATTAAAATTGGGGATAGACTCTTTAAGTTATTGCCATAAAACCGCTAGAAATCAGACAATTTACTATTCACCTTGATCACTCCTATTCGTATGACATTGACCCCTAACCATGTGATACACATAATATGAACATGCTATAAAAGCACAATAAATTCCAAATCAAAATATCACAGATTTTTATTTTTATTGCAGTTTGTTTCTGAAAAAAATTGTTTTTAATAGAAGTCTATTTCACAACTCAGCGGAGTCCTATGGTTCGCGGCTGGGTATATTTTGTAGAGAGGATATTGTAGTTTCACGGTAATAAAGCTTATCTAACTGCCATTTAGAAGGTTAAAAAAAATAGTTTCTAAATTTAAAAGAATTCGTTTTTATGTGGGTAACTTCAGTTTATTTACGTATACGTACCTATGTTAGTTTTAGTTATGTTTGTGCAATATGTGAATAAACTTATTATTTATTATTAATCTATTTCTGCAATTATGGGTATTAAATAAAGGCATTCCAAAGCCTACTTGAATTAAAATTACCTATGCAGGTGCAGGGGGGGGGGGGTGGTTGATGACTTTACATGTTAAAAAAATTGCCAATGGCTAGTTATGAATATTAAAACGTACGGTTATGCTCAGGCTTTTAGAAAAGAGCATTTCAGCCAATGCTATGCTATGTTATGCGGAGTCAACAGAAAAGGAAATATAATATTTTTTTGGGAATTTCTTCAGATAAGCTCATACGTCGCCTCAGATGAATTTATTGACATAGTAGGGACAATATATACAGGGTGTCCGCAAAGTTGGGGTTTTCCTTTTCAGAAACAACTACCCTTGAAATAACAAAGGTGATGTGTAGTGAAACGAGGGCGACCAAGTAAAAAAAATAAAGGAAAAAATACTCACTCTCCAGTTGACGAGAAGGGCTAAGTACGTCTCTGCCCGAAATCATACCGCTCCAACAGAAAATGAAATCAGCTGATGTGCTACCGAGCAGACGCAGGCAAACAATGAAGGCAAAATTTTGCGTAAAAAGTCTTGTATCCCGTCCAATCGATATGGGAGAGCAAATGGTCCAATGAGCATACCGTTCACCATGCCAGCCCAAACATTCACCGAAAATGTTTGTTGAAAATATGCCCGACGGACAGCGTGCGGATTTTTAAAGTTATTCACCCCATTACGCGTGAACGTAGATTCGTCTGTCACCAATATGCACTTCAAAAAGTCCGGATTATTGTCATGTTGATGCAACAACCACTCACAAAACCGCACTCTTGCTGGAAAATCGTCAGGTTGAAGGGCTTGTACACGTTGGACGTGAAACGGATACAGCCCCTCTTCACGCAGCGTTTGCCACACTTTAGTTTTTGATACTTGCACTTCTCTAGCCACGTCTCTAGTGCTTGTTGAGGGATTCTCGTCTACGCGATTACCTCTAGACGCGTGACCGTAACCGTCGGTTGAAGGTTGCATACTGACCTGACACACTGACCCCGACCCAGTTCTGTCGTCGGGTTGAGCTAGTGTCCTAGTACCAGTCGGGGATGTCGCGGCTACAGGACGGTATTCAGATATTTTTGATGTTGCAGAGCCCTTTATCTCGGTTCCCTTAAGACATTGGTGTATATGGTACTAAGAAAAATTGCTTATGCTTTCAAGATCTACACGTCGTGTAAAGGAAAACCCCAACTTTGCGGACACCCTGTATATATATAAATTCACTAATCGGAACAGTCTTGTAGCAGACTAAAGCTGGTGACAAACAAAAGTGATAATTTTCAAGCGGAAGTACTTCTTTGAACTTAAATAATAAAAACTATCAATCGATTGAACAAATAATTTACACCGACTACTATTGAAAATAGGAATTACATGTATGCTACAAGTTTGA